CAACTCCATTTGACTCTTGTTCTGCATCATCATCAAACCTTGCTCTCTTCTGGGGTCATCTATCCCACTTTTGAAGTCTCCTGGAAGAGCAGCTTCCGTTTCTTGTTCCTTCACATTCACCAATTCATTTAGATCTCCGATTTCCAATTCAATTCTTTTGCTAGGTAGAGAAATGTGGGGTTGCAGATTTTGTTCCTGTTTGTTTTCTGATGCAGATGAATCAAGTTTCTTCAAAATTATTTTATCGGGGGATCCAATTTCTACAATTGCAGCATTCTTGCCAACATCCCCACACCATTCTTGGGGTTGCATTTTGCCAGCTTCCAAGGGGTCGATGCTAGAGCCATTTCCTTTTGCTGGCACCAGGATTTCGGACAGGCTATTTAACTCTTCATCTACCAGAAGCAGTTTTTCACCATTGTGGATGTTTACGTAGCTGTGAGTCATCAAATAGAGCAACATCCTTTCTTCACAGCTTCTTAAGGGATCCTTGTTTTCTGCTCCGTGACCTGCTGGTTGGGCAGAGGAAGAGCTTCTCCTTTGGAAGCTGCTTGAGGGGCCAGAAAGGGGCATCCCTGGAATGAAGTCAGGGAGGCAAGTTGATTTTAATGTTTTGGCAACATCTTTATTCAGGATTCCACAATCAACAGCTCTCTTCCATGGAAGGATTTCATTAGTCTCTGCTTCAAAAAGTGCTGTGATATTTTGCCTGCCTCTTAAAATTTTATCAGCCAACTCAGAAGTTAGGATACCTTGCTCCAAAGAGTCCGTAACAGACACAATCTCTCCTGACTCGGGCCGCACAAGTCCTACAAACGAACGAAGGGATTCCAGGATCATCACGGCAAGCCTTGATGTCACCAGGCCTCCCTCTACTGCTTTCTGTAGCGAAAGTCTCTCTCCGGTAAGTGGATCTAGGATGCCACCAGTCTGCAATTGTCTGACCAGATCACAAACCAGTTCTTGTTTAATTAAATGATGTCTTCCAGCTTCCTCCACAGTTAGCTGGGAATCCCGTTCGGGGTCCTCAAGGCCACCAGCAAAGAGATGGGCCCCTAGTAATGCCATTGTCCCTTCCTTCTCCACTAGCCCTTCATGAACTGCAGAGAGGACAGCTGCTTCTGGGCCTGACTGCAAGCTTAGCATCCCACCTGACGCCTCCTGTTTTAATGGGAACAATTTCAGTCCAGTCTCCTGGTGAGGGACGCACTGCTGCAACAGATCACGGAAGCTAATTTTCTCAGCTGAATTTGGGTCAGTCAAAGCCTCCTCACAAGATTTTAAGCCATTTACCAACTTCTCATGAAAATGATTGGTAATGATGCCTTTTTGAAGAGCATCTTCTAAACCAATTTGCTCATGGCTGGAAGGATCTATAAAGTTTCCAGTGAGAAGCTGTACTTGTGCTATTTTTAGCCCAGTATTTTCACTGATGATTCCATTTTTGATAGCAGCAACAACAGGATGAAAGGGGCTGTCTTTGACTTGCATGTTCTGGATCAGCTGGACAGCATCCTGCATTTCCTCTAAATGTTGGTAGATCTTGCCATTTATTTCGTCTGTGGTTAGGCATTCTGCTAGGGAGAGCTTTTCACTGACACTGGGAACCACCAGACCAGCTGTGACCACCTGGACTTCCAAGAGGAGGAGGCCTGTTTCTTGGTCTAGGAGACCTTTTTGCATGGCGTCAAAAATAGAGAAGACTTCCATTGTGCCAAGATCTAGCACTCCAGCGATAGCCTCGTTTCCCTGGGACAGAGGAGCAGGGGGAGGAAAGAGAGAAAAAAAATCAGAATCACAGGAATAGTGGGCCTATAAATGCATCCCAGTCCAAGATGTCTCAGTCATCTAAAGCATGGTGAGTACTGAACTAGAGAGCAGATCTTAATTAGGATGGTAATTTATAGGTCGTATGACCTAACATGGGAACCATTTCACAATTTTTTTTCAGTTGGTGCTCAATCTAGCCAGGCAGGCGAGGCACTACTGAGACATTTTGGGCACCCAGCAAGAGCAGCAAAGCAGCAGGAGCACCCTTGCAGCCACTTTCCCCAGTGGAAAAAGACAGAGAAAAGGAGAGAGAAGCCTACTAAGAACCGCAGCCATGCACTCCCCATAGTCCCCTTTATTCAAAGGAGGAGACAGGAAGCACGGAAGGACCACAACAGAGCTCACCCATATGGACCCAAGAAAAGGGAGCAGGAGACAGCATGCAGGGGACCCCAGAGAGTCAACAGGTCCCCTTTTTGCTTTGCGGTTTCACAATATCCCTTTGACCGTTTTGGGAGTGGCAGCCTAGAGGAAGGGGTGCAACCAAGAGTTTTCTACTATCCAAACATGGCTTTCTTAATTACAAAACACTGCAGTTCTTCCAAAGTCTTTATCAGCCATTCTCACTTAACATGGAAAAATCTAAAATTGCACAATGTTTGGGAGAAGTTAGTTTGAAGCAGTGGAAAGAGCTGAGCTCTTTCATAAGAGATCATAAGATGGAGTCCTCCTTTGGGCTCTATCCCTCCTGCTCAGCCCAACCCACCTGACAGGTTTCTTGTAGTCATGGGGAAGAGGGAGCATCCTGTACTGTCTCTTGGGTTGTAGGAAATATCTGGATTTAGAAGCCACTCAATTCCAAGGGACAATGAAGCTGCATATTTTAAATACAGCAAATGAATACATGTGGCTTGCCCTTGGAGGACCAAATGACCTGCTTACCATTAACCACCTCCCCCTGCAAGCACACCTGTGAAGAAATGTTTTCCAGTCACAGGGGAACTGGGCCTGAGACCACTGCAAATACAATTCTACAAAGTGATCCCAATGAAAAGGCTGCAATTTAAGCGGATAGTCTCCCTTCCACTACGACATGCTGGGAATCTTTGCATCTTGGAAGTTTTGGACCATTAGGACTGCAATTCTACAGGTGAGGAAGTTGTGGAGCATTCTTCTGCCAAAAGATTCTCCCGTTAAACCCAGAACTGCACCCTGTGGACCTTCTCCTGCTCCCTGGGCCAAGTGAGGCAGGATGGCAGTTCAGCTGCAACGAAGGCCTTCCCAGCCTGCCACCGCCACAGTCGTGACTCCAGGCGCGCACAGTCAGATATTAAAACAGGAAGGAGAGAGAAGGAGGGGCGTCAAAAGGCTTCTTACTTACCCGAGTTGGGGGCTTTGCCGTGAGCAGTTAAAGACAGAGCCTTTAGGTAGCAGCTCAGCCGTATGGCGCACACAGTGTGAAAGCTGGGGGTTAGCGTCCGGCATGCGACTGTTTGTTTGCACAAAAGTAGAGAGAACACCCATACAGAGCCCAACCCACACAACTGGCCCACACTTCTAGAGTGAGAAACTCCAGGAAGGTTAGTTTTTCAAAAACAACAACAGAAAATTGTAAACAAGGATGGTAGTTATTCTGAATAGTAAATAAACACAAAACAAAACAACAGGGACACATCATCATGCTCAATGCAGAGGCTTCTGCTAGTTTTGGTGTTTTGGATGTGCAGTTCTGTCTGCTCCATCCATTGCCTTGAAACCTGAACAGTCCCTTTGCCCGCCCGCCCACCCCCAGGGTTGGAGGTCTTCCATAAGCAGAAATGTTTAAGAGGTTCCATGCAGCCATGAAGCACCCAAACCAAACTCCAGGATTTCGTTCTTATTCCCATGTGAAATTGAAAAATACCCCTTGGATTCCTCTCCCTCCCTCCATTTCCCCAGAACCAATGACAACGTGTTCCACATCAGGCATCCAGAATTATAAAGGGATGCTGGTTCCTTAAGTGGGATCACTGCGAACAGGAAGAAATAGGTTGGCTTTCGTAGGCTGGAACAAAAGAGAATTTGGCAAAGGAACCCCAAATTCAGTGGTTACAACATTTGGCAGAAGAGCCCTCTAGTGATTTGGTGATTTTCTGATGGCATTTGCTGTCATTTAAAACAGCACCCCTTTTTCTGCAGGGGGTATGCTCAAGTAAAAATCTGACATTTATCCATCTGGCTGATTTGGTTTGCAATGCTCCAAAGTAGAGGGATCCTGCAAGCATTAAAAACACAGTTCCACAAACAGATATACAGATTGCATTGGACACATGAACATCACATTTATATACAATGATATACAGATATATTCAGATAGGACTTGTGAACAAAGCAGTAACAAAGATGGGATGGATGCTCAGACAATTGGCCAAGGGTATCAGAAAAGAGGCACCAAGTAGCAGAAGGCTGCAGAAGAACAGGAAATGCATTGACCATTTTCTATCATTGACACCTTTATGACTGGAGAGCATCGTAGGCTGTGAATTGGCCGTGTACAGAGTCTTTCCATGCACCAACCGAGGGAAGAGAAAAATTCTTTCTCCTTGCTCTTTGGGGATTACAAGTATAAATCCTATTTCAGCCAAGTCCTTAACCCTGCTTTGCAGGTCATCTGGCTTATTTCTGTAACTTTCACCTTTTGTTCTACCCCAGCACCTTCACTGTCTCTTCATCTGCTAAGGGCTCCTTGGGTAGCTCCCATAGGTTTTGGTCTCCCACTCAGGTGTCTATCGGCTTCTTTTCTTGCAGAAGCAGCCAAATGCAGGAGAGGGACTGATAGTAAGATAGAAGCAGACCTGGACATTTCCTACCTTGTGTTTTTTGATATAAGCCATACTTATTTTCAAAGGATGAATGGTGATAAGGTGAGATGCCAACCCTGATAGGCCTTTCATAACTTCCCAAGAGAAATGTTACTGGAGGAAGCACAAAACTAAACATCCTCCCTAAGAAAGAAAGAAAGAAAGAGAGAGAGAGAGAGAGAGAGAGAGAGAGAGAGAGAGAGAGAGAGAGAGAGAGAGAGAGAGAGAGAGAGAGAGAGAGAGGAGCCCTAGTGGAACAAAAATGGGTGGCTGCCTGTTTGAACTTTCAGAGTTTCTCAGGATGCTTCTAAGCATGGACCGTCTTGTCCACTGATGGGGAAAGAAGGCCACACCTGTGGGAAATAAAGGGAACGAGGAAAAAGATGGTACCTTATGTGCCATCTCCTGAGCCATGTGCCTCTGCAACTGCTGAAGCTGTTCGGTGGAATCACAGCAGAGCTGGTCGTAAGTTTCTTTGAGAGCATCCAGCTGGACTGAAATCTGCCCCTTCTCCTGGTCTGAAAGCCTGCAGCATGGGAAGAAAGACAGCTTGGAGCAGAAACACAGCCAGTGGGCAGCCAGGAAGCAGCAGCAACCAAGGGAGATTCTGCATTCCCATACACAAAGTTGCCCATGCAAACGGTCAGCCTGGCCAAACCTCTTGGACATCAATGAACCACATCTTTCCGAAGCCTCAAGTGTGAAGGGTGGGTGGCTAGTATAACTACGATGGGGACGCGGTGGCTTAGTGGCTAAGATGCTGAGCTTGTCGAACAGAAAGGTCAGCAGTTCGACGGTTCGTATCCCCAGTGCCACCTGACGGAGTGAGCTCCCGTTCCTTGTCCCAGCTTCTGCCAACCTAGCAGTTCGAAAGCACGTAAAAAATGCAAGTAGAAAAATAGGGACCCCTTTGGTGGCAAGGGAACAGCATTCCATGTGCCTTCAGCATTTAGTCCTGCCGGCCACATGAGCATGGAGACGTCTTTGGATAGCGCTGGCTCTTCGGCTTTGTAATGGAGATGAGCACTGCCCCCTACAGCTGGAAACGACCAGCACGCATGTGCGAGGGGAACCTTTACCTTTAGTATAACTACTCTACTGTATTTGCAGAAATAATTGACAATTTGTGTTTATTTAATATGTTAACATGGATACCACTTCCTATATCCAAGATGTGACTGGGATATAGGAAGATGGAATAACTTACTAAGGTAGCAATGCCCAACCTCTTTATCTAAGTGGTCCACTACCACCACTATCAAGATCTTTTGGAGACCTTCAAATGGAATAAAAATCCATTACATAGAGGATGATAAAAAGAAGGCAAGACCAAAGTCCATATGGTTTTATGGGTGTTGATGGCATCGATGCAAACACCATCATGACTTGTTTTACCACACATGCAGATGTCCTGGAGAGGCCCTAAGAATGGAGTGGCCTAAAGCCCCCAAGTGCCTCTCCTGCATCAGGATCTTCCAGGGGACATTTTTCAGGATTTTCTTTTTCCTGGCCAGAAATGGCCCATTTCCAAACTTGATCTTATTCCACTAAGTTTCTGGAGAGTTATTCTGCTGAGATATATAGTCAGGGTACCCTGTACATAATTCCTTTCCCAGAAAAAGGTCAAAAATCATGAAATTTCCACTAAAAATGAAAATAACTTGTACAATTTGGTGGTTGCCAAAATTTCATTAAAATTATTCTGGAGTCTCCTTTTCAGGCTTCCTGCAATCCAACTTTCTAGGTTCATGTTATTTTCTCAACTTACTTGTTGTTATGCTTTGCAAGAAATATTTGAGTAGTTTTTATAGCTTCTGAGACTTCCTCCTTCTTTGCAGCCAACTCTTCATTCAGGCCCTGACAGGAAAACAGAGAAGGGAAAGTTCAAATGATACATTTCTCCCCCCAAAAAATGAGCACAAGAAAGAAGCAGCTCAGATAGAGAAAACATCAGTTAAGTAAGACTGATGTGACACCGGCCGTGGTCTACAAGGAGAAAGAAATATAAAAGGAAAGGTAAGTCCTCAACCCATGCAGGCACCTGCTGCTCCAAAATGGACTTCTCAATATCTCCCAGCATTTTCCTCTTTGTGGGTGAGATGCTTCTGAATGGTGGACTCTGCTTGAAGCTTGTGACCCAGCCCAGGAGTTCTTTCACCTTGTCCATGTGTTCCTGCTTCTCTTCTTCTACAACTTTCTGCAAAAAATGAAATCAAACAACATGGAAGGTTGATACATAATATATCCACCAATGCCACTGACACCCACAATGCTTCTTTCGGGCATATCAGGGTCAAACTGCATGGGATCAGTGTGTAGAATCATAATGCAGTTGATGTCCTCTTCTAAGGTGAGTGAATGCAAACCTGCCTGGGGGCTTCCCAGGGTATAAGGAGAAGGGCTGAGGGGCACAGGACAATGTTGAAACTGACATGAATTACCAGGCCCAGGTCCAGTGTGTCGGGAAAAGTGAAACAATGCACAAAGATGACCTGAAACTAAAAGTCTTTGAATGCTAAGAGTGCACAGTTCTGCTAAGGTCCGTTGTCCTGGCTGCTAAACCGACCAGCCTGGAGGATATAGAGCTGGGTCCTCCCCTTGTGGGACCAACTTCCAAAGGAGCAGCCCAGACCTCCATTTAGTGAGAAGTGCCGAGACCAGAATTTCTTCAAGACCCTCCGCTCTACACTAATATGCTTCTGTTGTTGGTGAGATCCTGATACTTCCTTAAGAAGGGTACCCAACCTCTCATGATCTTATGAGATAAAACCTGGTGCAAGATTCCAGAGGACCAAACTAGATTCACAAGACAAATATCAGATTACACAAATTCTGTCCTTACTTCTTCCTCTTCCAGGCGCCGGAGGGCATCACTTATGTACTTCACATGTTGTGTAGTCAATGTGACCAAGGCTGTATAGTGTGTCCGTAAATCCATGAACTACAAGGTACAAGAAGCAAAATATGAATGAATAAAATTGTCAAATGATTAAATAATAATGATACTAGGGTATTTAATCTCTGATTGAGAATATGAGTTATTATACTATGTAACTGTAATTGATGACTATGAAATGGATGCACAAAAAATTTGTAAACCAACCGACACACTGCTTGTATATTCGTGGAAGAAAGGTTGATGTTTTTATGTTTTGTATGTTTATGTTTGTGTTTAAAAAATCAATAAAAAACTTTTTTTAAAAAAAGGTAGGGGAAGCACAAGGAACAGACCCATTTAAGCCAACAACAATGAAACACAAAGTAAAATGGTTCTCATTTGCAGAAAGTTCTCCTTCTCTGCAAAAACCAAAGGAGAAACCTCAGAAGCGAGATACTCCCCACAAAAAGAAACAAAAAAGGAGGCCAAAAGGAGGGGATGATTCACGACCAATCTCGGGGATGAGTCAAGCATTTCTTAACCTGGCCACGAGAAGAATGGTGGTTGGTGTGATGCGAAAGGCAAGAGCTTTCCTTTTGCCTGTCTCTTTTGAACCTCAAGGTGAACGGGGGAAATCCCTGAATTTGGAACCCTCCAGGGGTGGCAGAGAGCAATCCTTACGTTCTCCCAATCAGCAGCACAATCAGTGGCTCAGTGTCGAAAAGCTCCAGTTAACAAAACCTTCCAGCGTTTTGACTAAGCACATGAACCAGGAGTTTGTATCCAAGCACTTGGCTTGGGAGACCAACAACTGGACTGGCTTTCTTGGGCAATTTTCACCAGTGACTTATTCTCTAAAGGAAAACGTTACTATGACCTGAAAAGAAAGCAGTTTGTAGGAGCAACGCTAAGAACTGAAAACCCTCTGGCCCCCAAGCCCTCCTGCAGAGAAAGACTCAAGGCCGGAAGGAGCCACACCTCACCTCTTGCGTGATGGCATCGGAGGAGGAAAGGACACGCCGGCGCTTCACGGGGGATTTTTGTTGAGATTCCACAAAGGCACGGTAGGTCATGAGCTGCAACTCATACTCCTGAGAGGGCAACAGGACAAAAAGGATTCTGGAGCTGCAATAATCTGGGTCCTCATTTTACCCACCTCGGAAGGATGGAAGGCTGAGTCATCCTTGTTGCAAAGGACTTGATTAATTATCAACTATGGTAACAAACTACTCAGATTGCTGTCAGTGGAACTCCCTGATCTAACTTCTTTCAAAAGATACAAGGCAGCACAGAAGATTACATGAAACGTTTCTACTTTGGATGCACACAACAAAATATTTAATATGAATAATAACAATAATAAATTTATAATATAATTAATAAATATTACAAAATACTATTGAATGTTTTAATCACAATGAATTACTGTCACAGTACAGCAGTGCGCTCATGCCTTGTTTAGGGAAAAGATCAGCCTGTTATCTAAAATAACCTTCCCAAATGCCCACCGCTATTTCAGAGCCAGCCTCAGGTTTGCCAATCTCTGTCCCAGCTAGTTCTGCATTCTGTGTCTTTGTATTGCATGCGCCTTCTTAGTACAACTAGAAGATATAGGTTACCTTGACAGCAGTTGAATATTGCTGAGACAGTTTCTGACACTGGTCCAGATTGGCTTGATTGGCTTCTATTTCAGCAAACAGTGCCTTAAATTCAAAATAAAAAGCAAAAGTCAAAATCACAATTACAAGCAAGATGCTTTTCTGCCTTCTTCTTCTTCTTTAACTCTATCCACATTTTGGAGCAGGGGGATATATATCCACAATAACCTGACTCTATTATTAAGCCACGTCTTGTGTTTCCCTCGTATTTTCAGTCTCTTTTGGAGACGAGGCAAACTTTCCTTTTCAATTTATAGCTCTTATTCCAAAGGATATAAGGACTGGCCAGTTACGCTGGACCAAGAGGCCATGAAAATCAAACACATTTTCTCTTCTCCATAGGTTAAAAAATTCACAGCAATCGCAACTGTTATAGTGAAAAAATGAGGCATTTGCTGCTAGGGGAGTTATACTATCACAGACCTAGACAAGATAAAGTGCAGCATCTTTGTGTTCACAAATGCTAGAGACATTATTTTCCCAAGTGCCAAGACATTCACGTGGTGACAGGAACCTGGATGAGAATGAGGGAAATTGTAGCTCGAGAGAGAGAGAGAGAGAGAGAGAGAAGGTTCGTGCGTCTCTCCATCATCCTTACCATCTGTTGGCTGAGCTGCTCTGAGAGCACCCGGCTGTCCTCGGCTTGTCCAGGCTTCATCAGCTCCTGCTGGGCTGTGGTCTGCTCAATCCACTGGACAAGTGCCCCGTGGCAGTTCCGATAATCCCTGAGAACATCCTCAATATTCTCCAGCTCAGATTTTCTACCAAGAAATGGAGGAAATGAAGCAGAGGAAAGGAGAAAACACCAACTGATAAAAGATGCTTCAAACATGGTACACTTATAATAGAGCAGTAGAGGGGAAAACTTTTCGGGGACATCCAGAGAGTGTGGTTTTAAAAAAGTCAAGATGACGGCCATGACATACCCATGTTCTTCCCAATTTGACTGTTTTTGACCTCACTCTTCAGGCACCCTTTGTCTGGAGTGGTTTGCAATCTGTAAAGGTTTACTACAGACCACACATCAGGAATGCATTTATTGGGTCAGTCAATTGGCCCAGGTCAGCAGAAGTGGCAATGGACCTGTCCTTGGCAAGAAACCCCAAACAGTCTCCAGTGTTTCCACTCTGACAGCAAGAGCCGCCATCTTAGGAGGCCTCCACAGCACCCTTGGCCCTCTGTGGGGGTCCCTCTAGGGACCCAGAGCTCCTTTCAGTCAGGCTACCTGGCCCTTGGAGGGGGTGGGGCGATTATCCACGGGGCCACGGCCCCCTTAGATTGCCTGTCTGCTCCCTTTAAAAGGACACAGAGTGGCTCTTCCTCCTTCCCCCCCCCCGATCTATCCCCAAAAGCGGCTGTTTTGTGGGTATAAGCCTTACTAATAACACCACTAAGGGCAGGGCAGGAATGAATGGAGAAGCGGTAGAGCAAAGATACTCTTAGGGATATTCCACGGACAATGGATAGATTTCCCAGAAAATCAGTGTAGACAGAAGGTAATAACGGCAGTAACATTTATCTAGTGGTCAGCTGTTCTTCTAGAAAAGCTCATGATTGTGCTTGAAACATTTGCGAACCAAAGCTCAGAAGAAAATGGGAGCCATCAAGAGAGAATAGGAACAAAAAGACAGCTTGTATTTTGTCTTTTCACACCAAGAGATAAAGGAGATTTACAAGAAATTAAGCTTAAATAAAAATACTGAGGCAACATTAAATTGATGCAGCATATTAAAGTATCTTGTATCAATTTAAGACTTTAGGACATTGTTACATTGAAGTTGATATTCAATAATCAAAAACCGATTTAATAATCATGTCAGAATAAAAATATTTAAAAAGTCTTTTGTTTAATCTAAGAATGTCCTTATTCAGCTAATCAAAAGAGAACATATTAAAACCTCATGTTAAGAGACATCCAAACGCCACATGTGACAGAATTCTCTACAGACAACTATACAGGTAATCCAAAATAAAATTTGGTCAAGACTATAAGTAGTTTGCCTTGTTTTTGCTATTTTGAATCATGTTGCTGAATTGGAGATACTAAAGCCTGATAAGTGATTCTGAGACTCTCAAAAACCTCCCCTCAGCCCCCTCCTCACCGAGTCTCCATCTGCAGGTTGACTCTTTGCCAGCGATCCCACAGCTGAGCCCCCTTCTCCTGGTAATGCTCCAGGTCCAGGCTGCGCTCCTGCTTCAAGCGGTACAGCTGGTCTGCTACCCCCTTGGCTCTTGCCAAGTCATCCTCCAAAGTTGCAAAGACGGCGCTCTTGGTGTTCACTTCACTGATCCAGTGCTGGAGTATTAATGATACACAACAAGGATAAAGGGGCAAACATGATCAAACTGACCAAAAAAGAGACAAGCAACCCTGGATATGGAAACAGGTCGTTTCCTGGTGGCTTCTTTCTCAGCCTATTCATTTTTCACAGGTGGGGATTCTGCAGCCATGTTCCAAATCTTGCTCTGCTTTTCTGCCCTAACAATCATGTGTTGCTACAACACGCCAGAGGACCTGACTTCAATGACTTCTTCCTAAGAATGATACTCCAACCACCTGTCAACCAACCCCACAAGCCTTTGGCTGCTTGGCCAAGAAACCTGGATGCCACCGAGGTCCTCAGACACGTAAGTGTGTTTGCCTTCAATACTGGGGACGAAGGAGAACAGGACAAAGGAAGCCTCGGGACCAACTAAGCCAGCCTGCCTGTCCCCCAGAGCAGGCCAGCCTGACCTGTGTGGCCATATTGTCCCGTTTGATTTGGCCCCAGAATGACAAAGGTGGCCTAGAGCAGGGGTCTCCAACCTTGGCAACTTTAAGACTTGTGGACTTCAACTTCCAGAATTCCTCTGGGAGCTTTGCTGGCTGAGGAATTCTGGGAGTTGAAGTCCACAAGTCTTAAAGTTGCCAAGGTTGGAGACCCGCGGCCTAGAGCACTGTTCGGCAAGAGCAGAGAAAGGCTGGCGTCCCTCCAGCAGACAGAAGGGGCAGAAGGGGGCAACTGGCATTGATTTGTGGCCTTGTGCAAGAGCATCTCAGGGCTACCAACCTGCAAGGAGACCCGGTGGGACTGAATGGCGATGATGTCCGCAGGCACAGCTTCCTCTTGACTCAATTTCACCTCATAGCCTTTCACCAAGGATTCAGCTCCTTGTGTATTCTGAATGATAACATCAACCATCTTTAGCCTACCAGAGGGGAAAAAAGGGAAATGTAACTTCCTGAAATGCGAACAGCTTTTCCCCTCTTGTCAACCAGGAACTATCCAGTCCAGGATTGCATTGTTGAACAGTAAAAATATAGTGAGAGTCTTTTTCCCTTTCCTCCATCCCCTTCTTGCCCATTGCCACATCTGGAAACTATTGAAAGCCCTTTGAGGTGGCCGGGTCACAAAATGGACACTGTGGAAATTCCAAAAATGCAATTACTTCATTGTTGTAGAATCCATTACCAAAATTTTGAAAACCTCTCTGCCCCCTTGTAAGGATGACACAGTCAGGGCTGAGCTGTTCATCTCCTTCTCGGGCATTCTACTTTTCCAAAGCAAGGCCTCTCTTTTTGCCTCTCTTACTATCCCCTTTCAAAGGCAGAACTGAATTCCTCTGCACCACCAAGTTGCATGCAAAGCTTAACATTTACAGGCAAGGAAGGGAACAGCACTGGGCACATCAGGGCGTTATAAGGTTAATAAACATTTCACAAACACTATAGAAAACAATTAGGTTACTGCTTCAGTGGTGGTATTCTACCGGTTCAGCCTGGTTCACGCAAACCAGTAGTAAAAAAAACACCACCAGCTACTGATTCAGCTGAACTGGTATTTCCCCCCCCCCAACGATCAGCTGTTCTGACAATCAGCTGTGCTGGATCCCCTGTTTTGCCCAGAAGGCAAAAAGGGGTGTGTGGGATGTGTGTGTGTGTGTGTGTGTGTGCGTGTGTGTGTGTGCTGCAACACCCCCCCCCCGCGCTCTGTTTTTTGCCCCCTGGGCCTCAGGGAAGCCTTCTGGGAGCAAAAATGCCTTCCAAGGAGGCTTCCCTGAGGCCCAGGAGATAAAAAAAATGGAGCACGGAGGGGGGAGGGGTCTGGAAAAAAAAGCCCCGCCCACCTAGTCACTCCCACCTAGCCATGCCCACAGAACTGGTAGCAAAAGTATTTGCATCCCACCCTGCACGGCTCATTTTGTAAAAAGCAGTCTGGGTGCTGGTACCGTATGGCAGGAGAGGGCAAGGGAGAGGTAGAAAAACTGGCTGCCTGTACAATTCATGTCTCTCTGCAGGTGCATGGATCCCAGTCAAAACGAAACGGAGACCGGTGCCCATTGAATGCTGAGCACAAGGAGAATCCGGCTAGCATTCAGACTTCTCCTATATACATTTGTGTGCATTACGAGATGTTTATTTTTGTGTATCAGGCAGAAGGGTATACCTCCTCTATATTGTTTTAACAGTTAACATGACTCTTAAAGTTGGGCTGCAAATGCCGCGAATCTTTTGCAGAGCACCCAGGGTTCTAGGAATAACTGCAGAGCACCCTGAAAAATGAGTTACGATTTAATACATTTGTTGTTAATAAAGCAAAGCCAAGAGGCAATCCTGTCTTCTAAGCCAGCTATTTTTAAAATGCAATCAGAGATTTGTTGTTTTCAAGAAATTGGATTCAAGAGATTTTTCCTGATGGCCCTACAAAAACGGCTAAATTCTCTTGTGATTTCCTGAGCTCATTGGCAGCGCATCTCACAAACAGACTCTCTCTATGTTACATTTTATTTGCAAGCAGCGCAAATCTACTAGGAATCCTCTCTTTCCCCAAAATTTCTTTTTAATAGTACAAAACATCCTAAGCTAGAGGACTCAAGAGCCTGGCATTCTGCCACTTCCCTGGTTTCTTTTATGTGGAAAAACCGCAGTTCTCCTTTTGGAATTTAGAGGGAAAATGCCAGCAACTCACTTGTCCAGGTAGACTGCTGAGAGCCCATAGACCTGGTCCATCTTTTCCACCAGCAGGTTCAGCTCAGTACGAAGTTGTGGTGTACTTGACCCTGTGGGAGACTTGTGCAAAAAAATGTGGCATCTCTCAGCCAGTTGGTCCAGGTCGACTCTCAGCTGGTGCAAATCTCCCTTCAGGCGCTGCAGAGACAATAGCAAATCGTGAGCACAAGCGGAATCCCAACACCTCCTTAGCGATCAGAAGAGGAGCAAGAGGCCAGGGACCACAGTGACCTCCTCCAAGCTCCTCCACAGCCAGATGCCTGGTGATCAAGTATTTAAGGAGGGATCTTTTCGGAGGAGATGCCACCGGCAGAATGGAGACTGTGTCTGGTCTCCATCCATACAGAACGATCTCCTATGCCAACGGTTTCCCAACAGAATCTGAATGAATTTGCTTCTTCCAATCGGCAAGATGAAGAGGAAGCAAAACAAAGAACTGAAGGACATCACAGTTTTGGGTCTCTCTCAGAATGGCCTGCTGTGATTTGCAGGAAGTCAGGAAACAAAACAGGGATTCATTTTGTGAGCAGTAAGTGCGAGGTTCCCTCTTAAATTCCACCCTGCTGCAGGATGACAGCACAGGACTTCTCTGTCCTCTTACCTAAAGAGAACCGGAACATTGTTCAAGCACGCTGCCACCCCCCCCCCCCCGTCATCTGGAAATGCCAACCTCCTGCTCGGCCATTCGGAAAGTGTTTTCCTGCAGAGCATCCCCGTCGGTTCTGGTGCTGCTTGGTGTCCGGATGGTGCCCACCAGCCGCTGCTCACATTCCTCCAGGTGAAGCCGGATGTTCTTGAGCTCAGAGAGGTAAGTCCGAGAAGCCGTCTCATCTTTATCCTCTGCTCATAGACAAAAGGAGTGAACTTTAAATGGGGAACCCAAACGATTTATAGGTCCACGGCCGCAGGCCTATCTCCAAGCCACAGCTTCCACCCCGCCATCTCAGGCTGAAAGGAAGCCAAGCTGGTGGGAAGTAGAGCTGAGCCTGAAGCCAGAGTCCCAGGAGGGCCCGCTTGACTGCTGAGCTTCTGGTTGTCAAGGGATCTTCATCTTTTTTCCCAAGAGAGGCAGAGACAAACCCCTTGAAGCAGCAGCCAAGCCCACAAGGACGATCCTCTGCTGGGGGCACAGGAGCCCACTGAACTAGGCCTCCTGCTCTGAGCTGTCCTGCTCCGCAGGTGGAGGGCAGAGGGAACCCGGAGAGGTGACTGGGAAGTCTCACACAACATTTGAACCTTGGGTTCCTTATTGATTTGAACTTTCTGCCAAATTTACTGTTCCTTGTATTCTACAACACTCTTTTCCTCAGAACAGACTGGAGACCTTCACAAATAAACCATGAAAACGATTTCATATACAATCACCACAGTTAAACTCTCCAGTTCCAATGAGCTTCAGGCAGCATTCAAAACCAAATAAATCCGTACAAACAGATAAAACACAAAACTACCAGTCAGCCTTAAATGCTACACAGATATACTGCACTTCCAGGTCTAGGGGCTGCTCTGAACATTGCACTAGGCTCACCGTTTTCCATGGACTGCAGAAGCCGCTGAAAATTCTCTTTGCACGCATCAACTTCTTCCTCGAGGTGCAGCCGATCTGCCAGGGAGAAGATCTCTGAGTCTCGGCTGTCCTCCAAGAAGTCTTCAAAGTGCACCTGCAGGTTCTTCACAACGTGGTGGCACTCTCCTGGGGCCAGAGCCCGCAGCTGTGAGTCACAAGGAACACAAAGCACACAGCTACATGAGGATCGTGGCACCAGGCTGGGCAGTGGCCAGTAGCCCCAGGGACCACTCCACCTCCAGCCACCTGGAATCACCAGCCAAGTATCTTCACATGGGTTTAAGCAACTTATTTTCCCAGACAGTTTCAGCGTAAGTGCGTACACTGGCCAAGATTTCTACAATATGGCTGCATACTGATTGTGAACTCTGCACACTGTAGTTAAAAAATGTTGCGGAACATATTAACAATGATATTAATGTATTTAATATTTGATTGAAAATATGACAATGTATACAATGTAATTGTAATTGAAGACTATGAAATGGAAGCACAAAACAATCTGTAAACCAACCGACACACTGTATGTATATATATGGAAGATGGCTTGATGTTTTTATGTTTTGTTTGTCTATGTTTGTCTTAAAAACCCATAAAAATTTATAAAAAAAAATGTTGGGGAACAAGTGCATGATGCTCATGGAAAGAACATTAACTTGTGAAGAAGACAGTGGTACTTCATAAATATCTAAGCTAATGCAAAATTTTATTTAAGCTTATTGGGGCAGGGAATTGTCTTCTACGGAAAGCCATTTACTTCCAGTTCCCAGCCCAAAATATCCATTTGCTGTAATGGGTTTGTTTAATGACTACAGTACATGTACATAGTTCACTTAATGACCTCCATAAAATCGGGAAGCATCACACGGTGACTCACTTAACCACCACGATTTAAGACCATAGTTCCAGGCTCAATTATGGTCGTAAGCCTAGTAGAACCTACTTTCAATTTTACTACGAAATCTTTGCTTGCAAGATGACTTTTGAGTCCCCTGCTTTGTCAGCCTCCTGCGGCCGCCACGCCTCTCCTTTTCCTTTTGGAACAGATGCCACCTCAGGCCCTGTCCAAGATCTACTACTCGCAAGAGTGTTTCACCCACCATTTCGCGCTGCTCATCCTTCCTTTCTGCCTTACCGAAAATGCCAGCAACCAACTTTCTAGAGATCTGCATCGTTACCTTCTCCAGGTTCCAACTCTGCACCAAAGCGATGTCCTTCCTCAAGTAGTTCCAGGAGACCAGGCTTTTCATGTTGACATGCAGCTGGTGCCACAAGGACATCACCTTCTGGTAGAGCTGCTCCACTCTGCAAGAAGAAGGCAAAGCAAAGGTTTCCCTGAGCCTCTGCTCAAGTGAGCTCCTTGACCGAGCAGCAGCACCTCGTGCCATGAAGCCCCGGATCCACGGATTCCTAGCGCTCTGCAGGAGCTGATCTCCTTGCCATTACTGTCATTCTACGTTTCTCCTTTGACTATCCAGGTTCCCTCCTGGCTCTTTGCCATTGTTGTGGCATTTGATGGATACTTAATCAGTTTTCTCTGGCCTTTAACTGGGACATTTCTCATATTCCCAGCCTGGCCAACTGTCTGCCATTTCCATTAATCAGCTAAATGAGTTACCCCCCAGACGTTGTGGGTGCTTCAAAACTGGAAGAGATTCTTAAGAAGAGATTGGACAGCCGTTTGTCTCTGCTACAGCAGGGGTTGGACTAGAAGACCTCCAAGGTCCCATCCAACTCTGTTATTCTGTTCTATTGTTCCAACTGTCCCACTCCTGCTTAGCTTCTGAGGTGGACCAAGTTTAGTGAGGTGTGGACACCTGCAGTTGGTTTGCATACACCTGTATTTTATAACACTGCTCTCAGCACTAATACCTCTATCTGTTTAAAAATGTGCATTTAAGTTAAAATGCAAAAAAAGGTATTTGTACAAGGATGAAATGCACACAAAATACATACTTTCGGAAAATCTATGAAAAATGTGACTTTTTGTAGGTATTTTAAATGTTTACTTGTAGTTTGATAGGGACTTTATAAGTAAGGATCTCTGTTGTTATTATCTAATAGAAGTTAGAAATATGGGGATATAAATGCAGAACAAATGTGATGAAGACGACTCGTTGAAGTAGGTAAGTTAAACATTATTGTTATTATAGTATTAATATTATTGTGACGAATATCATTGTAAACATTTTGATCATGATTGCTTAAAAATAATTGTACCCAGACAACACACTGTTTGATTGAAATTGATTTTTACATGTTATATCAATGAAAGAAATAAAGCATGGGGGAAAAGAGGACCTCTGGGGACTGAGAGGGCCTGAAAAGAGACGGATCTACCTACCAGAGGCCGCCTCTCACCACAGTCGGGGAAGAGAACTTTGCTCTAATGCTCTTCATACCCAACTTCAAAGCAGTAAAAGCATCCAAAAATTCAAAGTAAAACAAAGTAAAGCAAAGCAAAGCAGAAAACAGTTGAGAAAAATATTGCAAAATCTAAACAAAGAAACAAAACAGAAAAGTCCGTCCTTCTTTGGCAAAAGAAGGAGGAGAAATTCTGAAGTCCTCGCGCCAAATGCTGCACCCAGCGCCCTTCCCTGGAGGCGCCTCCCGTCTAGCACAGGCTGGGGAGGACTCTGCAAAGCTGCTCCAGGGATCTGCCCAGGACCCTGGGGACCCCGGTCCCATTACCTGCTGGCCATTTCGATGGCCTCTCTGTTGGGAGGGGGAACCAAGAAGCAAACCGAGGGCACCGTGGCCTCATTCCCAGCAGGACTGATCACTTTCCACTTGGTTCGCTGAGCGTTGTCTTTCAGCACACACTCGTCGTTGCGGCAGATGGTGATCTGTGGAGGCAACCCAGGTGTTTCTGTAGTCCAGCAGACATTTCTTCTCGCTCCATGAAGTAACCCTCTGATCTTGGGGGCCAAACTGAGCCCCCTCCTTTTTAAACAGAAACTTTCCCCAACGTTTCCTGCAGTCTCTCCAGGAAAAGCAACTGCAACATTTCCTAGGAGCTTATCTCAGTGAGGAGATACCTAACTGAAAATAAAGCTTTGCCCACGCAGGGTTATTTTTCTGCAAGATCGAATCTGGTTCTGTCACCGGAACAGAGGTTTGCTCTTCCGAGCTTTCGGACTCTGTGCTGGAGCCCAACTTCAGGGAACGCCTCTCATCCAGGGACTGTGTGCTTTGGTTATTCCTCTCTCTCTCAGCCCTCCCTAAGAAGGCAGGCCTCAAATTTACCAAACGCTGCTCCCTCAAACACCGTATATACTGATTTGCCCTGCAGAATGATATCCTGGACCTGAGTTGGCATATTACAAGGCTGCACAAAAGCCCAAGGGTGGATTAATGGAGGGAATCCCAAACAATCATGGTTTAGGAACAAGCTAAAGTTCTTGGAAGCTCCAGGCTGATGCTAGTACTTCAACGTTTGGCTTTGCAAAGTAACCGCTTAGCGCATTGGGAGAAGCAAAAAAGAGGCTCATCAGAATCTACCTGTAAAACCTCAACCTTTTTCTCCTTTAAGGCCAACAGAAGGAAGTACAGGTAGTCCTTGACTTACAACTGTTCATTTAGTGCCTTTTCAAAGTCACAATGGCACCAGACTTACGATCGGTCCTCTTGGTTCAGGGGTCTCCAACCTGGGCCACTTGTGGACTTCAAAGCAAAGCTGGCTGAGGAATTCTGGGAGTTGAAGTCCACAAATCTTAAAGTGGCCCAGGTTGGAGACCCCTGTCTCAGTTAATAAGTGCTGTAGCATCCCCAGGGTCACAGGATCAAAATTGGGGTACATGGCAAGTGTGGCCATAAGTCGAGGAATACCTGTATGCAGAGCCTTATCATTATTTTAAGTCGCCATTAAGAATGCAGCAAGAGACTTGTGACTGCTGTGACTGGAGGGAAGGAACCCCTGGATTCAAGTCCCTGGGGATGGGGGCGAGCTGGGCTGGCCAAGATGCTGAAAGTCTGAAAACAGGGACATTCGGAATACCAACCCCCACATTATTCCTTATCCGGGGAATTCCCAAGCCCTCCCAAGTTTTCCTTCGGCTGCTGTTGCTGACCTCAATTTGGTGGTAATCGCAAGCCGCCTTCACGGAGATGGTGCTCTTCAAAGGGCTCTCGGGGTTCCGGGGCTTCAGCTGGACGATGCTTTTGGACCTTCCCACTAAGCTGCCCACGGAGCTCTTGGACTGGATGAGCTGCTCCTTTTCGTCCTGCTCAAAAGAAAAGCGAGGCGATGGCGGTGAGGAGGGCGAGGGAGAGAGGCAGCCACAGCAAGGGGACCCTCCGCCAGCCCCCCAAAAGACACCAAGCTCCTACCGGAGCCCCTCGCCTGCCACCTGGGGAGAGCACTTTGCCAGGGGCAGGAGCAAGAGGGGGCATGGGCAGAAAGCCACCAGCCAGCCCCTCTTCCATTCTCTTCTGGCAAGAGGCTCATCTTCCAAGGCCCCCCCCCGCCCCCCGCCCCCCAACCTGGGAGCACAACCCAGAACCCCAAGACGAGATTACCCGAGCAACAAGACCCAGACCTACTGTCTTTATTGAAGAAAAAAAATGCTTGATTTTTGCAAAATAAAAAAATGGAGGCGGTGGCAGAATTGTGCAGAAAGATTGTTCAGGAAGATTGATGCATTGACTGAAAGCCGTTTAAAACCTGGCTGAGACAATGCTGGGGAAATGCTGGTAGGTGGGAAGATAGTTGAAAGAGATAGATAGATAGATAGATAGATAGATAGATAGATAGATAGATAGATAGATAGATAGATAGACGGAGCTTAAAAATGAGCTACCTGTGCCTGTCCCAGGGGAGCATGGTTGGAAGAAATACAACTGTAACTCATTCGTTATGACCATTAGGCATCTGCTTTGGCCCCAGGCAGGCGCCTTCCTTGTAGCCCTTGAAACAGCAACACGCTTTGCTGGCTTGTTTTGCAGCAGCCCCTCCATTTCCCTGCACAGTTTCTCTTCTCGGGGTCCTTCAACTTTCCCCTCCAAACAGCTGGAGCCTGACTGCCCCAAAGCGCCCTCTCTTTCCCCCACCCCCCCGCCCCCCGGTCTCGTCCAGAGCATTGGCCAGGCTGGGAGCCTCAGTGCAAGCCAACCTGGATGGAGGCTGGCTGGCCGCAAGCACGAAGGTCCCCCTCGGGAGGAGGCTTCCAGTGGGCCTCCTTCTCCTGGCTGCACCTAGAAAGGCTTCTCTGTCCCTCCCGCCTGTCACGCTGACCTCCATGCTTGCCTGTCCTGCTTCCCAAGCGGCCTCCCTCAGCCACCGTGCGAGCCTCTTTTTCCTAGCCAAACACCAGCCTCCCCAGCACCCTCCCAGTCCTCATGGCTGGTTCAAGAAGCTCATTCTTGTCAGGCACTTACTTTCCCGCCCCTCTCCTGATTCCTACGGACTACGGCCGGGAGTCCCTGGGGTTGCAGTCCAAGCAATCCAGACGATACCGCCAGAGGACGCTTCCGGTTCAGAGCCCGGAGCTGCTCAGAGACCAGACCTCGGGGGACAATGGGCGCCTGCCAGACAGCCGGTTAGGAGCAGGCAGCAGCCAGCTTAGGGACAGGCCCACACTGTGCAGCACCCGCCCATTAGCAACACCACCGGAAGAACCCGAAGGGAGACGAGCTTTGGCCAGACGGATCAATGGCCCGACTCAGGATTTCATGTCACCCTGTGCTCCCCAACAGCAGCCACCCACTTCAGCGCCCTGGAAACACGTAACATGCTGGAGACCACTTCACAGATACATGTGAGGGGGATGGATGCCAACCAAACACAGGGGGGCTTCAGAAAAGCGGGTCTGGGAATGACCAAGGAGGAAAGGAAGTACTTTAACATGCACACACATTCCTTGTTTGCTTCTAAAGCAGTGCTCGGACCCACTCTAGCCAAAGTCATCGGTTTCCAGAGCATCAAAGAGGGCAGCGGTCAGAGAAGACTATCACCAGAATTCACGCAAGGAGCACAGTTAGCAAAGCCTGGGGAACTGCAGAAGTTCGGAAGGTCTCTGGGTGTCTACAGGATACCGTCCGACTTGCCCCAAAAGCACCCACCATGGAATCCTGGAGCAGGTCCTCCAGGCGGGTCAGGCTGGTATTGCGGTCACAAGAATACTTCCTTTTGATGTTGTCCTGGAGGTTCTTCAAGAACATCTCAGACTCCCGAGCATCGCCAAAGAACTAGAAGGGTATAAAGAAGTCTTTCATTTGCCCAACCTCACAAAGCGTGCGTACATCCATGGCGAAGGATCCTTGCATTGTGAATTTGTGGATTGACTGGGGATACCCAGCCCTCCCTGGGCTGCCCTACCTGGAAGTAGGCGGTGTTCTCCCTCAAGTGCTGATCCACACACAAGCATAGCTGCTTGATCCAATGCCACTGCGTCTGAACTGCAGCACTGTAGGCCTGGAAGAGACAACCACAGCTGTGCTGAAGGGACAAGAACGCCCAGCCCAGCAGAAGCTGGGAAAAACCGAAGAAACAGTTGTTTCAAACAAAGACTTCCCACAACTATATGCCCAGTTCCAGAAAGGAAGCTCTTCCAGAACACAAGACGATTGCTTCGTATTTCTGTTTAAATTGTTAGTATGTTCCATGATGCACAGGGCCTCCAATATATTGCTTTATTACGTAGGCACCATGTCAACTCATGCAGGGGTCAAACCTGAGTCTTCACAGGAATGAAAGGTGGCAAAGGCTCCCCAAAGAGGACCCTCACACCCACCAGCCATCCTAAGTCCTGGCCTTGCCTAAGCCCCTCCCAGAACATTCCCAAGCAAGAGCCAATCAGAGCGCCCCCCAGCCATGCCCTACCTCCACCGTTTGCTTGGCAGGGTGATTCTCCAATGAGAGCAGTTCGGCAGAATCTTGCAGGGCACGGAAGACGTCCTGCTTCTCCTCCAGCTCCTCTGTCAGCTCCTGGTGGGGGACACACCAAGGGATTCGGTGATTCTATGGCCAAAGACCGGCCGGGCACGGGAAGACATTTAGAAAGATGGCCAAGGCCCGAGGGTCCGGGTTTTAATGCTGAGGGTCATACTTGTGTTTCTGGCATGTGCTGAGGCGGCCCCATTCCAAAAAGGGGCCAGTTATAAGGTTATGAGTGAGGCAGGCAAGGACAATTTTCAACATCTACATCAACATTCAGTAATAAGGTAACTTTTTCATGTCCTTTGTGAAGAAAAGTCAAACAATATCTTGAACATTTAAAAAAGCTTGGTGGACACTCTGGTTTTCCTCATTTAAAAAGGAAATATGCAGGCTGAAAACCATTAGAATCAATCATAGATGTGATGGCAAGAATACTAAAATAAAACAAAAAATAGCATCAGGTTAGTGATTTTCAGTGATATCATCACTGATTATCATCAGGGAGTGACCAGTTTAGCCGATTATGAAAATGTTGAGGGCCTAGACCGCCTTCCATCCAACCACGTCTTCCATGAGACTCGAGCAAAGGGGGTGGCAGAAGGGAGTCTGGACTAGGCTACAAGTTGGTAAGCAAACGGTGTCAGCCATGCATGCCCCAAAGGCCCCGGGGGGAGGAAAGGAAAGGGGACCCTTCCACGCCTGGTGTTGTTCAACAAATTTCCAAGGGGTTTAAATCAAGGAAAGTGCCCTAGTGGTAAGAGTTGCGCTGGAACTCTGGAACAGCCGTCTCAAGAGATTCTACATTCTTTGGAGGGATTGAAGAGAAGCAAGATGGTTCTGCCTTGGAAATGCTGTGGCAATAGGTTTCTGCAGTTAGGTGCGATTATCAGAGTTTAGGGTCAACTAAAATAGCAAAAAAAATGAGTAGACAAATAATTTAGTATTGATTTCACCCAAAAGATTTCAGCCCGTATAAACTCTGAAACCGCCAATTAGGAAGCATCATCTGGAGGTCAAAATCTAAGGAATTTTTGGAAGGCAACGCTGAAATATAACTTTTTCTGTGCAGTGCAGTGCAGTGCAGTGAGGCATCTGCAGATCTGTACCCTGGGGAAATGAAACAACCACTTCATAAATGCATGGCACAATATAGGAGAACAAACCCAACAGGACTAGATTCAGTAGTCCATCTGCATTTATTTAAAAGACAAATCCCACCCTTTTGAAGACAACAAAGTCCACATCTTGGACAGAGAGGACTGCTGGTTTGAAAGAGGGGTCAAAGAAGCCATCTATGTCAAAACTGAACAGCCTTCTCTCAACAGAGGGGGAGGGACATGACATCATTTCCAGTCTACAACACAGTCCTTTCAACAGTTCCGAAAAAGCTCCACACCCATTTGCACTACTCAGGTGACTCTGATGACACAGATAAACCTCCAAGTGGCCTTAACGACTTCCTAAAAGAATGCAAATGACCAGCCATCTGCAAGGAGTATAAATCTTCCCATTCCCCACCATCCAGTCAGAGCTGAAGAAGCTTCTTGGATGAGAAGCAAAACTTCTTCAAAGAAAAACCAGAAAGTCCAGTTGACTCTTGAAAAAAAGCACCTTTGGGACATCCGTGACCCGGAGGACAGAGAATTTCCACAGACATATAACTTTTTCTAAGTACTAGCTTCACTGAGAAATGTCAGGAAGAGTCTGGTAGCCTGTTTAAGAAATTTTACAGTCAGCCTCATGCTACTCATCAAAGCCTTTGACTGATAATAAAACTAAACTATTAGACTCTTTTGGCTGTCACAGACCAACATACTCTCTTCTTACAATATCTACACTGAAAAATATGAAATTGTGATTACAAAGCCACTCTCACTGATCTCCTCTCTTGACCTCCAGAAGACCCAATAGAGGCCATGCAATCCCCTTTGGTCACTACAAGGCCTTTCTACTCACTGAGAAGTAATTCTTCTTCGTTGTCAGGTTAGGGTTGTTTTCACTCCAGTCATAGGCGAGCTCTTCCTCCTCCTTTTCATTTAGCCAAATTAATTCAGTTGTCGCTTGTGATACAAACTCATACAAACTTTGGAGGTGGCGTAGTCGGAAACTGGATGTCTCCTGCATAAAAAGATGACACATTTTGTCCCATTTCATAATATTCAAGTGATTTCTGCTCTTAGACGTCTTATTTGTGAGCACAGAAAATAATTCTTAAAAAACTGGTTTATAAACCCTGCCAAGCAGTTTTTAGGCACAGAAAATTAGTAAGATCCAACAAGGTGTTCAGTTTGCTCACTATCCTCTATAAACCAAGAAAACAAAAAGGCACCAACTTCTTTAACTGCTGCAAAATTTTTGAAAATTGCAGAAATGTGCGGTGTGGTTTGCTGCATGATGTGAAAAAATATGCACACAAACGTGTATTAGTAGAAGGGTGTTCAGAAATGCCACATTTGGGGAAAGTAAATACTAAAGCTTGCAAAACTACATCTGGTTTTTGTGTGGAATTTCTTTGCCCAACTTGATGGTGAAATGCATCAAAATGAGAACCTGAGCAAAGCAGCAAGTGAGCTCAGGAGTGAAATTCAAAAATGTTCCCTACTGGCTCTGTGGGCGTGGCTGTGGGTGTGGCTTGGTATACTTGGTATAACAGTAATAGCAACCAGGGGCAATTTTTTATCGATTCAAATCATCCCTACCCCCTCTCCCGAGGTGGTTGAAGGAATCTGTCCTTGTGGCAAGACAAACGGCACGCCCACAGAAAGACCCTTTGAAGGAAGAAGAAACTGGCATTTCTGTGGCATTCTTGGTGCTCTCTGAGCTTGGCTGTTTTCCTGCAGATGGTTCATTACCTGACCAGGTAACATTTTTAGTGCAATAAGAAGCACTAGAAGGAGTGCTAGTGCTTGAAGATGTTTATCGATAAAGGAGAATATTTGCAGCTCAGGGTAGAGAGGAGTGGTCCTTGGTGCTCTCTGAGCTTGGAGGTTTTCTCCCAGGTGTTTCATTACCCAACTAGGTACAAAGAATTTTCGCTGCACAGCTGCCTTTTATCTTCTTGAAGGAGGGGCCATTACCTTGCAGCCTTACTCCTGAGTCGCCCGTTCTGTTGCAGCTGCTCTTTCCTGTGAGCAGCCTTGCATGCACGCACACTTGGCACAGGCTCCTCGGGAACCTCCTCATCGCTGCTGCCAGCCCCCACAAACTCTGAAGGCAGCAGTCCATTCCCTAATGGTCCTGGCCCCTCATCTGAGTCCTCGCTCTCCTCAGCCATCCACACCTGCTGCCAGCTAACCACAACACAAAGATACTCACCATCAGTTTGCAGTACTGCGTCTCCAGTTTCCCTAGGGTTTCAGTATAGCTAGCACGAAAATTTGAAGACATTTTACCCTAAATGGAGAAGAGGACATAAAGGGCTGATTAAAAATAATACTACAATAGTTGGAAATGCACATGCTAGATGTGATGGCTTCTTTAAAAATTTTTCCTCCCCTCCTCTTTTCAAATTACATACAATGGGCTCAACACAATTTAATAAACAGCGCAGGCTCAAACCAGTTAGGACAGAAGTGGGCAACCTGCAATCCACAAGCAGCCCCCAGACCAATTTTGCAGAACCCAGATGTCCTTCAGGATCAGCCATCAAAACCAGTCATTTTCAGCAAATGGGCTGCTTTTTTATTTTACCTTCTTAAATACTCAAACTGTATTTGAGCATTGAAGTGGGAGTTAAAACACCCAGCTTTCAGAGTTTGTAAAGAAATAAGCAAACTCATAAACTGTTTTCAAGCAGCCCAGTGTCGTGGTGCTATCCACTTTGCCGGCCACCCTACGGTGATTCTGTGGCCCTTAAGAGGTTCAGAAAAACATTAAGCAAAAGAAAAGCAGAGGAAAATAATGATCCTTCCCTGCTCTAGAGACCAATTTGCTCTATGAAAAAGTAAACTGCTTCCTTTTCTTGATTCTTTCTTTGAGGAAAGGTCCCAGCAGCTGTGTGTCTTCTCTGTCCCCGAGATAAGGACCTGGAGTAAAGGCAGGCTTGCCTTTTAATGCATGGTCTCTTTCTCCAGCTCAAAAGCAACAGAATCAACCAGAAAGCCGTCCTACTAGTTCTCATTCTTTCAACATGCCAAGAGAACAGCTGAGGAACCAGAAACCATCACACCTCCTTTGAGCCTAGATCATTGGACAAACCCAGCCAGTAATTCAGCAGGTTACTTTGGAGGGGGAAAGGTCCAGCTGGTTCTGGAGGAGGGCCCTTCCCTCTTCTCAGGTATGGAGGTAGGGACTCTTGGGGAAGGACAGATGATGCTGGAGAAGCCCGCGAATCCAAGAGCTGACTATCAGTGCTAAAGTATCCCAGGCTGCTTCCTAAGGGCAGGGCCCTCAGAGGCCTTGGATGTCTCCACCACGTCAAAATATTTAATATGACAGAAGGGGAAAATGACTACATTCAGGATTAGACAATAATCACATTAGCTACATTTTGTTTCCAATACATTTAAACCCAAATGAATTACTTTAGCTCCCCCTGCCCAACGCCAATCTTTGGGGAGGGTAGCTTCTGGTGACACAGAGGTCAAAGGCAAATCAGGAAGATCAGAAAAAAACTCATATATTCCTATAAACAGATCTGTACTCTTTACATAACTAAATTCAGAATGAAGTGTAGAATAGAACTCCGATGGAGAAAAACTCCAAGTGATGCAGCAAGCAACAGAAAGAGAAATGTTTAACTCAAAGATCAGATCAGAAATTAGGTTGATGATGGACTAACTTAAAAGATGCCACCAAAAAGCACATTAAACAGACACGGAAAAAGGCAAGATACTTTGGATAACAGATGGACACAAAAGTGACATAATGGTGGCCCTACCACTAGACTCGCCGACTACAAAAACATCTGGGTTCCAATCGGAGCCTCCTAGTGAAAGGCCAAGTGTGACACATATCTTTTGAGGTTTTGCATTGGCTATCAATGCTATCCAGAGGACTAAGGTGATGGTGAGGTGAGGTGAACACTTATAGCTGGGGTGGCACAGTGGTCAGAGTGCAGTACTGCAGGGCTACTTCTGCTGCCTGCCAGCTGCCTGCAGTTTGGCAGTTCGAATCTCACCAGGCTCAAATTTGACTCAGCCTTCCCTCCTTCCGAGGTGGGTAAAATGAGGACCCAGATTGTTGGGGTTTGCAAGAGGCTGACTCCGTAAACCTCTTAGAGAGGGCTGGGAAGCACTGGGAAGCGGTATATTAGTCTAAGGGCTATTGCGATTGCTATAGACCAAGGAAAAACTTACCGTGTTCTACAGAAAATCAACCCAATTAGAAATGTTCTCAGCTCTGAAAACGGGGCAAACATAATCCCACTTTGCCTCCCGGCGTCCTCAAAGTCATCTTGAAGGGGGTCAAATGAGCCCAGGTGGGTCTGCTCACCTCGTACATCCTGGCCTCCTTCACACTGGAGCCCGTGCCTTCGACGCTACTGTGAACCTGGCGCTGAACCTCCAGCTGGGCTTCCACGGTGGGCAAGTCATTCCCCCACTCAGATCGCTCCAGCTTCATCTGGAAGGGCATCAAAATCAGCACCCTCTCAGTGCAGGGGAAAAGCCCCAGCAATTCATACCAAAAGGGTCTCCTGATCAATAACCTTTCTTTCCACTCTACCGCCTTTTCCAATGGATTTTTAAAACTAAAAAAAAATCATAACTATTTACGTTTACAACATTTGGCAATAGAAAGAACAATCAGCGGAGATCTTTCCCAAATTTGCCTAACTTTTCCAATAAATTGGCCAAATAACGTTTTTCAAGGCAAACTGGATGGCTTGTGTTCTGTACCAAGTTCATTATAGCGGTGCAAACCAAAATCCCCTCAGTGCCCCTTCTCTCTGCTCTCTCTGTGATCTCTCTGGGGCTTATAAAAAGCAAACATCAGATTACTTTTAAGAGCAACGAGACAACCTGGGATCATCATCGTTTCCAAGAGAGTTCTTTACCAGAAACTTCAGCGCTTACAACAATAGCAGAGCTTTTCACGTCCTGGGAAAGTTCTTAAAGATTCAAGGAGTTATTCAGAGATGCCTCTGCCTTGAAAGTAGCCCATGTTGTACTGGACTTCAACTCCCAGAAAGCTTTGCTGGCTGAGGAATTCTGGGAGTTGAAGTCCACAAATCTTAAAGTTGCCAAGATTGGAGACCCCTGGAATGTAGATTCTGCTCTCTAGACAATTTTCTCTTCACTTTGTATGAGGCTTTGGTTAATAAAACAACATGACATTTATTATACTTCCATAATATTGAGTTTATAAACAAAATAAATAATCAAACCATTTTTAAAAAGTATTCATGGAATCTTAGAATGTTATTAACTTTTTTTTTCAAATAGTACTACACCCACAGATTGGGTTCATACAACATACCTAATCTGGTGACTGAAGTAACCCATTTTCTAAGTTTGTAATGACACCATACTAGACATGAATTAGGTTCATGCAACAAATTAGGCCACACACACAAAAAAATCTAACCAAGCTCCACACTAGCCAATTTAGCCTGCTGCACAAGGGCAGCAACTGACCTAGTTCAGCACTTTGTCTGAACACCTTCCCACCATGTAACGCACCTGTAACTCTTCTACCCAAGAGAGCAGCTCATACACAAAGCGGAGGCTGCCCTCGTCTTCAGAGGATGAAATGGACACCAACTCCATGCGAGTCATTGGCTTCCGAATCCAGGAGGCAGAGGCAGGAGGGGCAATCGTTCCTTTTAGCAGAGGTTCCGTCTTCACCTGTCTGGTGCTCAAGGAGGAAGGCTGTGCCAAGTCCAAGGAGGAGGGGGAGGAGAAGTGACCTTTCCGGTAAAGATTGGTACATTCCAGCCTCAAAGTTACCAATTCATCTTGAAGCCGCACAATCCTGGGAGAAAAATCAGGCAAGATAGACATAATCACCACCAGATGGATTCGTACCTGGCTGACAAACCATACTCAACGACTGGTCCTTAATGGGTCTATGTCTACAAGGAGGAAAGTCAGCAGTGGGGAACCACAAGGTTCCGTCTTAGGCCCAGGACGCTTCAATATCTTCATACGTAGATGAGGGAATAGAAGGGGGAACTCATCAAATTTGCAGATGACACTAAGCTGGCAGGAATAGCCAACACCCCGGAAGACAAACCCAGGATCCAAAAAGATCTTGACAGACTTGAGCGATGGGCCCTATCCAACAAAATGAAATTTAATGTGGAGAAAAGCAAATTTTTACACTTGGGCAGGAAAAAACAAACAAGTACATTTTGAGCAAAGCCTGGCTCAAAAACAGTCACTGTGAGAGGGACCTTGGAGTCTTAGTGGACAATCACTTAAACACGAGCCAGCCATGTGTGCCAGCAGCCAAAAAGGCTAATACAATCCTACATTGTATAAACAGAGGCATAGAATCAAAATCACATGAAGTATTAGTACCGCTTTATAAAGCCTTATTAAGGCCACACCTGAAGACTGTATCTGGTTTTGGTCACCACATTACCAAAAAGATAATGGAACTTTGGAAAAAATGCAAAGAAGAGCAATTAAGGTGATTAAGGGCCTAGAGACTAAAAGATATGAAGAACAGCTGCAGGATTTGGGTTTGGCCAGTCTAGAGAAAAGGAGGACTGGGGGACGGGGGGTGGGGGTGGGGACACACATGATAGCAGCATTCCAGTATTTGAGGGGCTGCCACAAAGAGGAGAGGGAGCTCAAATTATTCTCCAAGCACCAGAGGGCAGGGCAGGAGACAAGAGACGGAAACCAGTCCAGGAGAGAAGAGACTTAGAACTAAGGGGAAACTTCCCCGCAGGGAGGACAGTTCACCAGGGGAACAGAAGTTGCCTCCAGAAGCCTCGTGGTGGCTCCATCACTGGAGGCTTTTAGGAAGAGACTGGGCAGCCACCTGTCTGGAATGGTACGGGGTCTCCTGCTTGAGCAGGGGGCTGGACTAGAAGACCTCCAAGGTCCCTTCCAGCCTTATTCTGACTGATAGTTTGAAGAGGCAAGATTGGCAGAAGATCAAACATGCACACACATACACGCAACACAGTGCTGGAAACTTCCTGTATGTATCCCATTTATATGGCCATCCATTTCACAAAAAGTCTCTCTGGGTGGTGTACAACAATCAATAAAGCAACTGCACATAAACAACACTCATTATTAAAATATAACAGATTATTAAAAATGAAAAAGTCCTTGACTTATGACCATAATCAAGCCCAGAATTATGGTCATAAGTCACGGTTGTAAATTTGAGGCATCACGTGACCAGACATGTCTTAGTTTGGGCGCTTTATGTTTTGGGGTTTTATTGGGGTACGGGGATTATAACGTTTGTGCTTGTGTGAAATGATTCCTGTGCGAGTGCAGCGCAGTGTAAATCCAATCACTGGATCCGTCCGATGGAAAGTCACGGGGCCCCTCCAAGCATTTCAGGGCCCTCGGGATGGCCCAGGACCAGCCGCCCTTGGCACCACGGAGGAGCCACCCTTTCCCCAGACTCCCAAGTGCAGCTTTTCACGTGCTCTTAAATGCTCCCTTCTGAGCTCAGCTGTCCACGAACATCACTCACTTGAAGACCAACTCCTCCAACTGGTAATAGTTCTCATCCCGGAGTATCTGAACATCTGCCTGCAGCTGTCGGAGGAGTCCCTCGCACTCCTGGAGGTACATGACGACGTCAGATTCATACTGCACCGGCTGGCCCGACTCCAAGTGGGCTTCATCCTGGCAAGAGAGCATTTAAGGTTATTAAGGAGAGTCTCTTTCTGTGATGTACTTCGAGGAAGATGACCAAAATCTCTGGCAGAGGAGCTGGGATGTCATGAACAGGGAACTGATCCTAAAAAAGGTGTCGGTCGAGAGTACAGTGCAGTAGAGGATTGCTTCTCAGAAGGACATCAAAGACCAGAGCATTTCTGCAGATGTAGCAAGAAAGGATACGCAATAGCAGCAGCGCTTGGAGTTATATGCTGCTTCACGGTGCCTTACAATAAACCTCTATGCGGTTTACAGAGGGCATCTTGCCCCCCCAACCACCTGGCTCCTCATTTTACTGACTTCAGGAGGATGGAAGGCTGAGTCGACCTGGAGTCTGCGAGAATTGAACTCCTGGAGTGAGCAGTGAGTTAGCCTGCAATACTGCGTTCTAACCCCTGCGCCACCCCGGCAATGCTTGATAAGGGCAAGAGAGGAAAGTGGAACAGGGGAGACAGTGAAACAGAAGTAGGAGAAGACAACCAGGAGGTGGAAGGGAAAAGAGCAACAAGCAACATGCCAACCACGGAAGCCTAAGGAAAAGCATAGAAGCCAATGACGGAGCAAGAGAAACTACAAGCAGGAAGCGACTGCAGACAGACGAAGCAACTTAGAGCTACAAATTGGGAAATGTCTGGCACACTTACTTCACAGCCACATCCACTAATTCCCTAGGTCTCCTAGAGTCCAAGCTCAAGTCCAAGCTTGAACTATTTCAAAGGCCACAAACCAAGGCTCGTGGCCCCCAGAGACCAAAGGTGAGACCACTCACGGTAGCTGGGAGGGAGGGAGGGAGGCAGGCCAAGAGCAGAGACTTACCGCCTGCAGCGTGTTCCTTGCCAAGGTGAGCTTTTCCTCACAGCTGAGGGTCCCATTCTGAATCTTGTTTGCTCTCTGCAGCAGCAGCTCCAGTCTGCAAAATAAAGCCTCGGTCAATATTTCGAAGAGAACAGATGAGCCACTTCTTTTCCTAAGAAGGGATATTTATGTTTATTTTTGTTTTAAGCAGGCTTTGCAACACAGAGCAAAAACTTTCCCAACCCCCCCCCCCCACCGCCCAGCACGAGGGTCACCTTTCCACAGCCGGTCGCAGCAGCTTCTCGCGCTCCAGCATCTCTATGATCAGCTTTCCCCACTCTTCTTCCACATTGTTGGGATGGTAGCCCTGCGGCAGCTTCAGTCGGCCAAATTCAATCCAAACCTGGAAAGCACAACAGAGGAGGAGCAGCTATTTCTCCTGAGCCTGCCCACAGGACGCAGCCCATACGAAGAGGCTGTGAGACCCAAGCTAGGCGTTCCTTGGTCCAGGCTGAGGTGCAGCAAATGAGAATTAGTTACCAGAAAATTCTCCTCTGCAAACAACTGTATCTTGTCCAACAAATACTCTTTGGACAAAATTTAGAGAGTCTTAAATAACGTAAGGCACAGTAGCCACGGTATAAATTCACTGAGGTCAGTTTGAGCTAAATTTCAGTCATTTCCCTGGAAAACAACTAGGGAGCAGCTGCCAGAGGTCAGGCCCAGAGAGAGGGGGGGGGAGGTGTGATCGTAACCACAGAATTTGACAGCAGCCCACTTGGGGCAGGAGAAGGGCCTGATCTGCCACCTTTCATAATCTTCTACCCACCCCCCAAAAATAGTCTTCCCAGGAAAACTGCTGCTGGCCCCACATATTTAGTGCTATAGAGAATTAGAACAGAGACTTGGTTCGTGCTATAAAACTTCACTGGGGGAACTTTGTGCCAAGCTGAGCCGAGTGTTTACTTCTGACTGACCCTCGTGTGCCAGATTTAAGGGAATGCAGAACTGAAATTCTATGCCATCCATTGAAAGTCAAGCCAGGGTGGTAATTTGCAGCCCTTGTTCTAAGGTATCCCAATACATCTATGCAAGTCTCTTACCTCCAGCAATTTGTATAACTCTTCAATGCTTCTTTTTTCTAACTGTTTGGTTGGTATTTCTGTTTCTTTAAAGTGGATATACTGGTTATAAAGTGCCTGCAAAATCAGAGGGTTTATCCATGAATTGTCTTTCTTAAAGAAGGCAAGAAGGACCAAAAAAGAGGACATGCGTATTTTGATCTGCAGAAAGGCCTTAGAAGCAAGAAGTGGGACCATAAAGGGCGGCTTCCCTACCACGCCCTTCTTGCTACCAGGGCTGGCGCTGCTGCTTGATTGTCTGTGTGGACTTCCTGGCCCCCTCACAATCTCTCACAGGGGACCCTGTGCAGCAGAAGGCAACTTTCTAGGCTCTCCTGATCAATCCCTTTTTTCCCAACTGTTAAGTTCCCTTCCTGCAACCCTGCGGCCAGTTTATCCTTTGTTACACTGGACCATTCTTGCTCCTGATTCTAAACCCACAAGGACTCACATCCGGATCATCACTCCAGCTGCTGTTCTTACAGCCAGGCTGTTAGCTGGGGAAATCTGCTCCCACAGAGCGAAGCCCATGGTTGTCTCAGTTGCCAGTAATTTTCAGGATCTCATCAAGGTAGTGCTGCCAGGATACATCAGGATAGGCCTGGTTCTATGTCTGAGGCTGCCCGCCCAGTCTAGATAGCAAAGAGATTCCCACCCCCATAAAAAGCCATTTTCTGTAGTGGTCCTTATATGGTGGGTTCATATGCTGCTCTCCTCTTCTGACATTTCAGAGGTCCTGAAAACATTTTTTCTTCCCCCCCCCCCCCCCCCCCCCCCCTCCTCCTCCTCCTCTTCTTCTTCTTCCTCTTCTTCTTCTTCTTCTTCAAAGGGCCTTTCCTTGCAATGTAGAATTGTGGGCAGTCACCTGTTTTATCCATGTTGATGTTTTAAAGTGGGCTTTAGATGACCTTGTGCATTTCCTAAAGTCTGTGGACTGCAGTGGCCTATAAAATAAACCCCCAGAGCCAACCCTTCCTAGCACTTAGCTTTAGCAGGAAAAAACGTGCCGCCAAGTGCTTTTCAGAATCTTTCATTCCACTTCAGTTGCCAAAGAGGAGCAGAAGAGTGACAGCCCCCCCCACCCCAAAAGACACACATTCCCCTTCCTCATATCCAAACACAATCCTGCTGCCTCTCTCAGTTTCTCCTCTCTGCCTCTAGTGATCCAGACGGGAGCCCCAAAGGAAAGGAGAGTGGGAAGTGGTTCCTCTCCACAACCACAGCCTTGCCAAGGAGACCCTCCTTCCCAGAGGAAGACCAATGCCCGGCCTCCCCGACTCCCCAGCAGCAAATAGCAGTGAACAACCACCCAACTGTTTTCCGCTACTCCAGAGACCAGCTGCCTGCCTGTAATTATGGTTGCCCCCCGTGCCGTAGCCCAAAGAGAGACTGCACACCAGAAAACAGAGATAAAAATAATTTTTTTCTAAGACCGCTCCAAAACAAAAAGCATCATGTTACTTCAGGGGCTGCTATAATTGGACCTTGAGGTTTTTTTTTAATTGTCATACCTTTATTACTTTATATACTTTACAACAAATATAACCCAATACTTTCCTGCTTTCTTCCTTTGCCCTCAACAACAGCCCTGTGAGGTGGGCTAGTCTGAGAAAGAATGATTGGCCCAGTCTCCCCGTTGGCTTTCATGCCTAAGGAAGGACTGGAACTCACAGTCTTCTGGTTTCTAATCTGGTGTCCTCCTCACTGGATAACTGACTCTCTGAGTTGGGATGCGATCCACAGGTCAGCTCAACCAAGGCCACAGAATCAACTATATTTGTGTTTTGGATAGAAGGGACTGTGCAGCAACTGAAATCAGGAGCTACTTCAGATATGGTAAGAGGAAAACTAGCTAGAACTTACCTTGAGCTTTACAGGGTTTTGGGGGAAAGATTTGTCAGACATCTGTATCGTATGCTGCTTGATCCAGCTGATGAGTGTTTCTACACAGGTTTGATATTCTAACCACTTTGTGTCCACTTCCTATGAGACAAGGGGGAAATCAAGGACAATCAAGTGGCATTGGACAAAGAGGAAACACCAGGCAAAAACATCTGGCTGAAGAAGGACCATCAAAATGGGGCAGAAGGAAAAACAGGCACCAGAATGCACGCTTTCTGTTCAGCTTTGCAAAAATGGCTCCAGGCCCGTGCCAAGGCTCCAGTGCAACCAAGAAACAGCTGGGCAGGATGGGGGTCTCAGTGCCCACCTATCAATGCAGTAGAGGAAGCTGAAGAACAATCCCCACTCCCTAAAAGCTGAAGAGGCAGCAAGGAAGAGGATGACTTTCTAACCTGACTTCAGCCAGATGAGCCAGACCACAACTGCCAATTCCCTGCCAACACATCTCCCACATAATATAAAGACGAGAAAAGTTGAAGCAGGAGAGCAACTTTTCTCACAATTCAGCTCTTAAAAGAATTAGAAACACAAACTCTTTTACTGTACAAGTCTTATTTGTGCTTCAGTTGACCAAAGGCCCTGGCTCTCGCACCAATTCATTGCCTTTCTCCTTACAGGTACACAGTGACATCATTCATCTGGAAACAACAGCGCTAAGAAGTTGTAGAAAAGCAAAATGTTGAGTGAACCTCCAGGCTGAATAAAGAGTAGCAAAACTTACAGTGGCACTAATTCCTTCTCCTCCCTCAGGGACTTTGGGGAAGGCATCATAAATTGAAGACACATAAGTGATTACAGATTTTTCATCTGGTGAAGGGACATCAACATCTGAAAAAAAGAAAGAAAAATGACTTGCATCTAAAGCTTTTTCACGACAGCATGACTTCACCTTTCATGTAGGGAATCAAGACTGTGGTGTGCTCCACCATGGAATATAAATTCTCTTATGAACCAGGAAGATATTCTGCTCTCTTGAATCTTCTGCCCCGAAGTGGTGGGTTTTTTTTTACATACAACAAATAACCTTCTCTCTCCTTTTTCGGCAAAACAATTAAGAACAGAGTTCTTACCATCTGCAATCTCAAGTTGCATAGTTCACAAGAACCTGCATTGTTCACACCGCAACTAAACGTAAGCCTCAGATTCTGCAGGAATCAGTGCAGATCCATTTTAATCCATTAAGTGCCTCCCGAAAGCCCGGAAGCCTACATGCTTCTTGGGGCACTGCTGGCTTTTCAATCGAAGCAAATTCTTAAAGTGTTTTGGAAATCAGTAATGCCAGATAATAGTAATAGAAACAGTTCTCATCATATGACCACAATTAAGCCCACAACTTGGGTTGTAAGCCATTGCTCTGTTATGCAAGGTACCCCTGTGATCACCTCACTTAACAACTGCAACCCCAGCTCCCTCCTCCTCTGCAGCTGTTAAGCAACCACACGGGCGCATCTCAGGCTGCGGAGGAGACCCTGGAAAGCCCTGTGCCCTCTGGTTAACCTTCTCAAGCAACCCCAGAATGCTGAGAAGGGAAGGAGTTGGAAACATGCTGCCACTGTTGGAAGCCTAGTTGGTTTGGTCACTTCAACATCTAAACTGTCTTGCTTTCCAGGGCCAAACTTTCTCAACTTATCTCCACCAGAAGTGGTATTCAACCGGTTTGGACCAGTTATGGAGAACCAGTAGTGGGAATTTTTAGTTGTTTGGAGAATGGGCAACACCACCTCTGACTGGCCCCGCGAACCCCACCTCTTCTCTGCCTCCCATTGAGTCCCAAGCTGATCGGCTGGTTCTCCGTTGGTTGCCCTGCACAGGAGAACGGAGCTGGAAAGCAGGTTAGTGGGGTGGGGAAGGAAGGGGGATTTTGCAGTAACCTTCCCCTGCCACGCCCACAGAGCTGGTAGTCAAAAAAATTGAATCCCACCACTTGCATCTCCATCCAGTGCAACCTCCCGCCAAAGTTCCCTCAATCACCTTCTGAATCCAGCAACCTGGTGACCCCAAGCCGCTCAGCAATCTCAAAGGCCTGTTCCAGGTTCTCTTGGTTGCTTTGAAGGTAAACTCTCTCCATGTCCACAAGGTCTGGTCTGTAGGAAACAGATAAGCTGAACTATGACAACTCAGCATTTGCAAGCAAGTGGCACATATCTGCTAAAGGAGAAAAGGATCACCCGCACCCCACTCTCCACATGGGGACACACACACGTTGCCAGGAGGCCTCTGTGGATGTACAGGATTTGCAAAGGGAGGCCCATCGTCAATGGGAAGTTTCTGAGGAGAGCACACTGAGAAGGCCAGCATGCTGGTGGCCTCCTTTCCTAACAGGGAAGCCCTCCTTGAGCAAAGGCAGCTCCATCCTCCTCCTCCTCGGAGAGCAAAGGTCTCCTGGGGAAGATCTGTGCACCCTCTCACCTCCTCATACAAAAGTTATCTGGTTTCCTAAGCACCCACCTCCCGAATCCCTGCAATCAGAACAAAGCCTGCCAGGGGTCTTGCGGGGAGAAGAGAATTTTGTTCTCTTTTTTTTCAGCAAAAAAAATCCTCCAGGGGTTTCCAGCCACTAATAAATAGCAATAAAATTAGTAGACCAGCAAAATACAGTGGACAATACAATATACTTATTGACTGATAAGACTGTTGGACAGACAGTTTTTAGAGACACCTGGAGCAACTGTTTGCTCCTATACAAAAGAGTCCAGCTCCATAGCAGCTGGGGAGTCTGCATATCTTTAATCTCTACAGTATGGAATTGAGACTGTTTGTGCCAGAAAGTAAACCTCCCTTTGTCCGGAATAGCTGTTTTGAATGCAAAGGGAAAAATGCATCTTCAACCTGTGTCAAGCGCCCGCCATGGCCCCACCCACCATGGCCCCTCCCCCTCTCCCCCCGCCCTCTGAGGTCAAACACAACCCTGATGTGGCCCTCAATGAAATGGAGTTTGACCCTCCTGCTCCAGGTGGTTTGGGAAAGACACCAACGCAATAAATCAAACCCAACAGCACATCACTGTTATTCAGAGTGAAAAGGGGAAATGGGAAAAAAAAATCAGAAATCAAACCGTTCACCTGACTTTGGTACAGAGAAGGGCCAGAGGAAGGGAAGGACCTTTTTACAAGAAAAGCTTTGTGCATTGGTGAGGTGAAGAGGTAAGGAAGCTGCCAAAGTTTTGGTGCCACTACAGAAGAAAGCCCCTCAATGACCCTTCAGTAGCATTCTGGGGTCTGGCTGGAGGATTTTGATCCCAAATTCTTTATGGCTGCCACACAGAGCCGAGTTAAAGTCTATGGCAGCAAAAAAAAAAAAAAAAAGGCATGTGAGCTGGCAGCCTTTTAATATGTTAGTCTGAAAATGTGCTTCCAGACTTCTGGTTGCACAAAAATAAATAAATAAATAAAGGTTGAAAAAAAATAAAATTCAAAAAAGATTGAATTCAGTAAAACTGATTTAGTCAGAAAAAGTAAAACTTTGAACTTAGCTTGGGAGCTCACTCACAGCCTGGACAGTTTCAATATCCAGGTACAAAATACCAATAAGGCTCATGCCAGTATTAAGAGTGTCGCCTATTTTGGACCGATTTTCCTTACATGGTTGAGGGGGAGGCGAGGGCTTCTACCTACCGATATCTATGGATGACGGCATTGAACATCTTCCCGTCACTCCAACAGGAAGAGAAGTTGGTGCACTTGAGTCCCACGTAACCAGCCGTCACTTTCTGTGACCACAAAAGGAGCTTTTCCTTAGCAGACATGTCCCCCGACTCTCCACTGATGTAGATGTCAGAGATCTGAAAGACAAAAGCGGGACCGCTGGGCCGTCAGGTGGATACCCCCACAACAGCCCATGTCCAGTAGCAGAGGAGCACCCCCCCCCCATGCACCGATGGCTCCTGAGGCTGTGAGGCAGCTGGTTTGTATGGGGTGGTTTTTGTTTTCAAGGGAGGGGGGGAAATGAGATGGATCCACGTGACTCTTTGGGGCGATTTTCTTCACAAAACCCAAGAGAGAATTGTCAGCTGGAAGAGGAGAATATGTGATGCATTACAATATACAAACCCTACCAAGCCCACTCAACCGATCAAGCTGAAGGAAGCAATTATTCAGATTTTAGAAAGGTCTCTTTAATATAAAGGCAAGGTCTTGGAAACCACAAAAGGAATGGGCTACCCTCATTTTTGAAGGTGGAGTTCATCTGAATGATTTGAAATAGTCCTTCCTAGGTTTCCTTCTACCTGAGTTAAGCCGCCATTGACGTGGCTCCTTGACTGCTAATTTCTTTTAATTTCTAATCCTTTTCTAATTAATTTCTAATCCTTTCCTGCCCTCTGTACAATCCTAGCTTTTATTCTTGAACACAAGGCCAGGTTGCAGCTCATAAGCAGGTGTCTCCTCCCCCCTTGAAGAAGCACAGACAGAGCAGGGACACCGAGTGACACAGAAGCTAGGTCTGCCTGCATGAAGCCCAGCCCCTGTTCTGCTGAGACTCAAACGTCTCAGAGCTGCCCATTTCAAACTGAGTCTGAAGAAAGGATGGCATTAGGATCTCCTTCACCCAGAACTTGTCACAGATCAAAAAGCAAAAGTTAAAAAGTCACCAAGTTGTTTTCTAGCCTTGTCCAAACTGCCAGGGCAAGCCACCCACTGCCAACTCTTCAGGCTTTCTTGCTACACCAGAATGTGTCATCACAAGGCAGAGGAATGAACAGAACCTAAAACATCCTTTCTTAATGCAAGGAAGCGCGCAGAGAGAACCTTTCGGTTGGAAGGATGGTTCTTTCACGGGGAAGACACTTTACCAAATGTATGGCCAATATAGGAGGTGTCAGCTTCCTGGAGTTGAAAGAACGTACACAATGCCCTTAAAAGCAACCATGGGGTTGGCTGTATCAGATTTCATAACCTCTAGCCACAATGCAGCAGAGACTTCAAGAAGTGGATATTGCTAGATGAGTTGTTTTGCTGTTAACATACACAGACAATCTTCCTGATGCACAACACAGAAACCCAGCCCTGTGTCTTAAGATTATTTAAGTCCAGAGGTTTAAATTCTTATGCTTCTTCCTCCTGCTTTAGAGTCGGCAGGCTTGAGGCTGTTCTTTTCCCAGCCTTGAGGTTGTATTGCTCACACACAATTGTTCCCTGGTCTGAGCAACACTATCCAGCAACCCTACTTTGGCCCTTACTGGTTGTGTGGACCAAGCAAACCAGCCTGGTGACAGCCAGAGTCATTATTCATCTCTCCTTGGCCTCCTTTTCTCCCACAAGGAATGCAGCTGACTTAGGGCACAACCAGATCTTTCCAGGTGCAGCCAGCGGTGGTCAAGCATTGACCTGCAACTATCCGATAGCTCCGACTCCCCAGAGCTGCTGTCTGGCCTATGTAGACAGACCAGTGAGGACTTGGATCCCCCCCCCCCCCCGGGGATACTTTCTGTTTTACCTTCCCAACTCTGATACCTTTGGAGCTTAACCTTCAGCATTCAGGAGAACGATATCAACAGAGGAGGAAAATAAACACGATGAAGCGTTATCGGTCAGAGATCCAGATTTAGACAATACAGTGTATAAACAGTTTCCAACAAGAACCTGTTGCTGAATCAATTAAGTTATTTATATTCTGCTGTACAAATTGATTTTCCAAATGAGCATATATTAAAACTTATTCAAGCAAAAATAATTACTATATTAAGCATTAACACACATGGTAGAATTATAACTAGAACAATACTATATGGTCATCTATCATAAAACACTTCCAAGATAAACATTCCTCATTAGACTTTCAGTCCTAATCCAAAAATCAGATACAATTAATGATTGTTTAAAGACACAGAAATCAAGGTTTGAACTGTTTATGAACAGCAATCTTTTTCCGTAACAGTTAAGTATTACATCTTCACTGAGTAAACAACTGTGAAAAGGAGTCTTATTTCTTACTCTCACTACAAAAACATGAGGATGAATCCAAACCCTGGTATCATTAGAAGTGACTACATACCTTCTGCTGAACAGAACTTTCCTTAATCATAATTTGTTCAACAAGCCTAGGTTAAATATGATAGGCAATTCAATAAACAAAAGCTAACAACTGCAACTCCCTAAGTTCTGGTCCTATCTAGGCCGATCTAGGAGAGCAAATGCTGGGTTTTTGTGGTTGAATGGATTCCCAGCAGGAGCCAGCCAAGTTGAGGTGGGTTGGGAGGAAGAGGGCTAAGATGGCTCCTCCCTAGAAAGTCTCACAATATATCCCAACAATACAACATTCCCAAGGGGAGATTTCTATCGACTGGTGGGAAATAATAAAGGAAACTATTTGGAACTAACTTTATGTGTTTTTCTTAGTTCTTGGGGCTGACAATTTTACTGCCAATAGTATCCCGCCTTGACAGCATCCTCTCCTGCCCAAAGGATCAGCCCGTTCATGTTCCAGAAACCTAAGAAGAGAAAGCTGGAACAGCAGGGAAAGCAGAAAACAACATCTCCCTCCGCCCTCGGTCCATGCAATGGGGCCCTTGTCAGACCTGAGCTCCTAGCACGGAAGGCGATGCCACGAGGGAAGGGAACGGCTCCGGCCTCTGGAGTAGATGGCCTTCGCAAAGGCTGAGGTTCCTGAGGTACTGCGAGGCAGCCCTCGCGCTCCCGTCCCCAGCTCCAAATTCCCTCTCTACCTGCCCTGCATCCTTTTCACACAAACGGTCAGGAGTAGGGCTAGGAAGAGCAATGGCCCAGTGACCCAATTCCCAAAAAGATGGGGGGGGGGGAAGGCTGCCAACCGTTGTTGAGAAGTATGTGCCCTTTCAGGCGGGTGAGGAGTGCCGACAAAAGAGATGAGCTTCCCTTCACACGGCTGCTTGTTAGATTTTCACTAATTCAACATGAAGAGAAAAGGCCGCGTGTGAACAGGCAACAGCGTGATTGCGCTGGAAGAAAAGATGGCTGAGCCAAGAGGATGCCCATTCCTGCTTTCATTTCAGAAAAGCCACCGCAGGGCAGCCTGTCCCAGGAAGGAGGAGGCCAGTGGGACAGGCCAGGACAGCAGCCCCTCACGTTTCCAGGAGGCCAGATTCAGGGAAGGGGCTGCCTTAGAGGGGGGTCTCTGGGCTTCACCCCCTTTCACTTCAGGACAGGATGCAACCTGGGAGCCAATTGCCAACCCAGGATACATAACCATTTGGCAGCAAATTCTTCTGCTTCAGGGCATCACAAGTTTTGTCTGGCCTTGTTAAGCAATCATTGGCCCAAACTCTGCCTCAGCCGGCAGTCAGAAGAAGTAGGTGTCTCTTGCCCAACCTCTTCCCTGGAGGTATTTCCATCAGTGAGTGTCCTCTGAGCCTCCTCAAATCAGATAATCTACTTACTTCTTCCTTTCTTTCCTACCAGTTCTACTATCAACTGGATGAACAAGAATTTGGCTTCAAAATGTATTTTAAAGGAACACAGGATTTTGGAGAAACTTCCTGGGGAGGGGGGGGGGGGGGGGGGAGTGTTGACAAGATGGCTCACAGGGTGTGCGTTGTGAGTCTACCTGTGTCATCACAACATCTCCACTTCCTTTGCTTCCACTCAGTCCATAGGGAAGGGGTCCCTGGTCCCATGGGGCACCATGCCAGACGCTAGAGAGAAGCATGGATCCTGGAGCAGGGAGAGGCCACTGAGGTTGATTAAGTCCAGCTTGTCCAATGCACCCCTGACCAAGTGGTTCAAAAAAAAACGGCCTTCCATAATCTAGGAGTGACTTTCCATGTTGTAAAAACCTACATTTCCTGCGTGCGTGAATGGGATGGGTGCAACGGTTGATCAAGAAAGAGGCAGTGGAGCTGCAGCAGGGAAAACTTCCTCGCTCAGGTGCAGCTGCTCTGAAGAGGATCGATTCCGTGCCTGGCATCAATGGGGGGGCTCAGAAGACCACAGGCTGGAATAACAAAGCCCTCATACCAATCAGTGGCAAAAGGCACGTGCTGGATGGTGCCCAGCTGTGCTCCCCCCATCTTAAAAAGTATACTGTTACCTGCTCCCCCAGGGGGAAGGCCACGCAATGGGGCTCTTTAGCAGGGGACAAGAGAGCCCATTTAGGTAACAGTTAAATGACAAAATCTGGGGAAGCCGGTGCTTGACTCCCGCCCAGCCATGGAAACCCACTGGATGGTTGTGGCGTGGAATCTCTCTGTCTCCCCAGCCAGGCAGAGGGATGCAGCAGTGAAGACCTCCAACCAGGAGCAAGGAGACCCAGGCTTCTCTCAGGCATGGAAGCCAGGTGGGGATGGGGGGTGGGGGCACTTGGCCCAAGGAACAAGGGACAGCCAAACCAATTCCCCAAATCCTGCCAAGCAAACTACACTGGTCTCTCATTGCATCACCTGGAGCCAAAGCCGACCAGAAGGGCCACCTCACTCACCGTTTGGGACCAAGAGGGAAGGGAGAGCTGGCAGAGATTTACAAAACCAAGCATGGGGAAAAGCCTCTTCCCCCCTCCCACAATACTGAATTTGGGACCCACAGAAGGAAATAATCATTTATTCAGCAGCCCTTCTGGATGACCACGGAAGAGGTGCAGGAGGGTTTTTCCAGGCACGACCCTTTGTCCCCAGCCAGCTTGTCCTGTGGCTCTGCAGCCTGAGCTGAGGGGCACGGATTCTGCCCGTGGCGGCCTGGCGTCTCTTCCCCGCCGCCAGCCAAGAGGCAGAAGAGAATTCAGTGGCTGCTCTCTACCTCCCCAAGGAGCTTCCAAGCCATCCCCAGAGAGGTAGGAGGGTGGGGCTGGCAGTTCCAGCAGCAGGTCTGTCCTTGG